ATTCATTCAAATTTCTGTCATCTGGATGAGAAATTATGATAATGGCGACAATCGACGAACCTGCGTTACACGAGCTAACTGTTCCCGACGGATTCGAACAAATAGAATTCTATTCTAGAAGGAAACGTGAACCTTTTCTCCTTCTCGTAATTTATCCATGTGTTCACAATGTATTTCTTTGATCGGCGGACAAAGGACTTGCTGAATTTTGCTGAAGTGCAATACAAGATGAGTGTTAAATTTTGAACATGAAGAAATATAACACATATTACATTCCTTCGAAATATATGAAAATAATATAAAATGTAATAACATTTTTACAAAGAACGTGAATTTACATTGAAATCCATAGTATGTACTTGTATTATTTTTATTTTAAAATTCGATTAGTATTCTTTCGCCAGAGATTTCACAATGAATTGAGCTTCTCAGATCGTTCACGATTAATATTTAATGCTCAAGAAACGAATGACTTACTTTCACAAATTCATTCACGCTGTTTACAAATAGTGGTAGAATTTAAAGAATTTAAAAATTTTAAAAAGATAAATTTAAAACCTGTGCACTGTGCAACCTTTTCTATACTTTTCGACTTATTGTGTCAATCCGAATGACTCAGTTAGCATCCAGATGTGTATGTACCTGCACAATTCGCTATCAATTCTTAAATCACACCGTCACAAAACGTCTCTATTCGTTTTTCCTATTCATCGACCTCGATCAATCCCAATAACAGGAACTCCGTAGTTCAATGACAATCCATTTTCGATTGAACAATATCCATTCTCTATTAATCTCGAATTATGTCAACTTTCTTTTCGCTGCAAGCGCCCACCATCATTCCCGTACACGCGGGCTTTATAATCGAGCAACAATTGCCTGGAGGCGGCCTCGTAATTCACCGCTCATCCAGTAACGAGCAATTAATTATTTCTTAATAGGTGTGTATAGTACAGAAACGGGACCGTACCGGAAACATGTACGCGATGAAGTATGTTCACAAGGGTGAGTGCGCGGTGCGTGGCGCGCTGAAGAACGTCGCTCGTGAAGTGGAGATTCTGTCGCAGCTGGAACACCCCTGTTTGGTGAACCTGTGGTTCAGCTTCCAAGGTAAGCTAATCGTGCCGGTACTTCTCTCGAATACCACGAACAAGCCCAACGTTCTAACCATCCTCTCGTCTCGTTAATATCGATTTTCCCCATGACGAACGGCGCTAAAGGCATTAGGCGAACTAACTCGATCGACGATCTTTCTTCGTTGGTTCCACCCTCGTTTTACACTTGTTTCGCTTGCTTCCACTGTTAACCGTGAAATTGGGAAATTGTATAACGGTTAAGGTGATAAAATAGAGCTACGCGACGCCGACAGATAAAAGAGAATTTAAAAACGCGAGCTTTTCCACTCTCTTTCTCGAGTATTTCTCTCCTTTCGTGAATTGTCGAAAATATTATTCTTCGAAAAAAAAAAAAAAATATATATATATATATACATTTAAATATACTTGTATATCTTGAGATATGTATTTTCACTAGATTTTACTCATAATAGTTTTATTTTTCAAAATTGTTAGAAGCATCACCTTATTATTATATTGTTTATTAAGTTATAGGATTATAATAAAATTTACATCTAAAAAACGAGAATTA